GAGGAAGGAGGGAAATGGAAGCAGCTGAGTAGTCGAGGCAGGACATAGGTGAAGCTGCTCGCTTCGTTTTATTTCTGTGGTTACTTTGATATCTACATTTTTTTTTCTCTGAAAGACGAAGACAATAATAGGTAAAAATGTGTCCTTCCAACCCCTTCCTAAACTGTTCCATATTTAATCCTCTGCCGACTCTTGAGATAATACATTTCATGAGTCTTTTTCATATAAGTGGTAAAACTTCCTTTTGTTTCTCCAGAAAGCTCCAGGGATAAGCTCTTTCCAGGATTGATTGGGAAAGCCTGGAACTTCCCCTGTCGCTCCATTTGGGTCTTTGGATTGCTTGGTTTCCAGACAGGTCCTCTTAACCTTTCTTTGTCTTTGAAAGGCAAGAGTCCTATTTCCTAAGTCTCAGAATAGCCCTGAGGCATCTCCGGTTCCAGTCCCTGGAGAGACGGGGGGAGACTATGCACAGCACTCCAGATCACAACCTCTGCTTCCAGTCTCCAGAGAGGCAGGCGGGAGACTGTGCACAGCACTCCAGATCACACCCTCTGCTTCCAGTCTCAAGGGGCAGGCAGGGGACTGTGCACAGCACTCCAGATCACACCCTCTGCTTCCAGTCTCGAGGGGCAGGCGGGGGACTGTGCACAGCACTCCAGATCAGCATCCTCCTGACTTTTGGCGGACAGATTATGTCTTGTTTCTGGAAAGCCTTGGTGCCAGTGCCTGGCCAAGTGCTGCTGCGCTTTTAGCTAGGGTTAGGCCAGTATCTTCCGGGAACAGTAGAGTTACTCCACCCCAGCCCTCCCTGCCCCCGCCACCATTTTTTCCTGGCTCATAACTGATGGCTCTCAGCTATCATTTGAGTGGAGTGAGCATCGCTCCCCCCCAAGATGTAAAAGTGTGACTGGCCCTGATCTGCCATTTCTTTGTCAGCACACACAGCCTGGAAATTGCCCTGCATTTTACCGCCAGAAGCCTCTGGGGGCCTCCGGGGAGTCTGGTGTGTTTCACGCGTGCGCTGTCTTGCACAGCGCCCAGCAGAGGTCATTCATCACTGGCGCATTTTTTCATCTGGAGCGGTGCCTGTGTCCGTTCCCGAAATCACCTCCCCGTCCCTGTGCTGCATCCCCTCGCCCCGCCCCGGGTCGCTCTGAGTCACCTCTGGCCTCCCTGAGCACAGCAGCAGGCTGTCCTGTCCCTGTTTGAAGGGGCTCCAGAGGTTGGTCACGCAGGACCTTGTCTCGCAGGGAACAGGTTGATTTCCTTTAATAGGTTCTGCTGCTTCATCACTTAGCGCCATGACTGCAGTAGAAAGGGCCTCGGTTTCGGAGCCACGCAGGCCCAGCTCTGGATTCTTCACTCACGTGTTACGGCTGTGCTGTGACCCCGGGTGGGCTCCTGAACCTCACTAGCCTGCACTGGGAAAATGCTGGTGTGAGCAGGAGGGCGCTAAAGCTGTCCTTTCTGGCCGGCGCCGCGGCTCACTAGGCTAATCCTCTGTCTGTGGTGCCAGCACACCGGGTTCTAGTCCCGGTCGGGGCGCCGGATTCTGTCCCGGTTGCCCCTCTTCCAGGCCAGCTCTCTGCTGTGGCCAGGGAGTGCAGTGGAGGATGGCCCAGGTGCTTGGGCCCTGCACCCCATGGGAGACCAGGAAAAGCACCTGGCTCCTGCCATCAGATCAGCGTGGTGTGCCGGCCGCGGCGGCCACTGGAGGGTGAAGCAACGGCAAAGGAAGACCTTTCTCTCTGTCTCTCTCTCACTGTCCACTCTGCCTGTCAATAAAAAACGGATAAAAAAAAAAAGCTGTCCTTTCCACACAGGAAAATGTGCAGGTCACGTGGGGGGAAAATGTGCAGGTCACGTGGGGGTCAGGGGGTTGGGCAGGGTTCTCTGTCCAGGTCTGCTCCCCAGGGGATTTGAATACGCAGCTATGTTTGAGAACCAGTGTCTTCTTAAAAATTAATTATTTTTATTTTATTGAATGGCAGAGAGACAGAGAAATCTTCCATCCACGAGATCATTCCCCAAATGCATGCCGCAGCTGGGGTCCCCCACATGGGTGTCAGGGAACCCATGCATTTGAACCATCACCTGCTGCCTCCCAGGGTGAATATAAGCAGGAAGCCGGAATCAGGAGTGGAGCCTGGACTTGAAGCTAGGGGCTCTGACCCGGGACGCAGGCATCCCAAATGGCATCGTAGCCAGTGCACCAAAGGCCCACCCCAGGAGCCCGCGCCTTGTTCTCAGATGGCAGACAAAGAATGCCAGAGTCGGAACGCTGAGGAAGACGCAAGGACTCAAGGCCCAAGTGGACAAGTGCCCCCCGACCCCCGCCCCGATCTGGAGACCAGGCCAGACATCAGGCCCCTGAAGGTTCCATTACCTGGCGGCTGGAGTGGTCAGCTGTCCACAGCCCTCACAGTGGGGCCTCCTCCCCATGGTTCCTCTGCTGTCTCTTACACCAGCCTCGCACCCCTGCTGGGTCTCCCAGGTGCTCAGAGCCTGCAGTAGTTTAGGCTGATCGGTCAGTGGAGGAGAGACTGGGAGAGAGATGGGGCCTCTTCTGGGTAAGACAGCCCCCCAGAAGGACCTGGGACTTCCTCTGGGTCACCTCAAGGATGCCCATGGGTTCCTCAAATGCTTATTGAGCGCTTGCTGTGTGCCAAGCTCTGTGCTGAGCCCAGGACCCTGAGGTGTGAGTAAGGTATGGCTCCCGGAGGTGCTCCCGGGGAGACGGGCTGGGGCTCAGGAATGGCTCTGCCCTTCTAGTCCAGGAGGCCCGAAACGCAGCGGGAGGGAACCAGAGTTCTCCCAAGATGAGTGGCAGTTTTCCCGATGGGAGTGGGGGGGAAGCAAGAACCCGGGCTTGTACGTTCCACAACATGTCAAGGAATGCTCTCAGCGAAGCTGGAGGGCCAGGGACGACACTGTGGCATAGCGGGTAAAGCCACTTCCTGTAGTGCCGGTTGCTGCACTTCCCATCCAGCTCTCTGCTGTGGCCTGGGAAAGCAGTAGAAGACGACCCAGGTCCTTGGGCCCCTGCATCCACGTGGGAGACCCAGAAGCTTCTGGCTTTGGATCGGCCCAACTTTGGGGAGTGATCCAGTGGATAGAAGATTTCTCTCTCTCTCTCTCTCTCTCTCTCTCTCTCTCTCTCTCTGCCTCTACATCTCTGTAACTCTGCCTTTCAAATAAATAAATAAACCTTAAAAAAAAAAAAAAGCTGGAGGGCCAGACCCGGGTACACGGTGAGCAGGCCTGGGAGGCTCCAGCCCCCGGCCTGTAACTGCAGATCCGAGATTTCATCCTGAAGGGAAACCACTAGGTAGCTGCAGCGAGGAGCAGCTGTTCATGCTTGTGTGATTGGTGGGTTACCCCAGGTGTCATGTGATGGACAGGTGGAAGGGGAAACTGAGGCAGCGAGGAGCCAGGTGAGTCAGGAGGAGTGTGGAGAGGCAGCAGGTGTCAGGGAAAGGTGCCTCTGGTGTCAGCCCCCCCAGGAAGCAGGTGTGATGGCACTGTGGGGCTGGCCGGGTGTGGGGCCAGGAAGCGGGAGGCGAGCTGCTCACTTGCAGGGTCAGGCAGGGGCCGGCCTTGAGAGAGAAGGAATCAGGTGAGTTAGGTCTGCGCCGTGGTGATGGGGTCAGTGGGGAGTCTACTGAGAGGAGAGCAGGGGGCTGCCCGGGGCCCCTTCCTCTCTCCTTGGCCCCCAAGACCGGGGTGGCTGGCACGAGGCTCGAGCCTCTCTGACTGCCCCAGCTTTGCTCTCTGTCCCCTGGCATCTTCACACAGCCCAGCCTCTGACCTCCCCAGGGCAGCCCTGAGCCCCTGTCCTGCTCTGTCCCCAGTGGTGTGCTCCCTGCACCCTCCCACAACTCCCCACTGTGAAAGCCTCAGGCAGGTCAGCTGGTTCCGCAGGGAAGAGTTCCAGTGGGGCGGCGGCCAGTTTCTTTGGGTGGCTCAAGGTGATTTCAGCCTTCCAGGAGGCCTGGGGTGGAAGCAAAGGACGGCTGGGTGCCGCGGGGGCAGCGCCTCCTGTTGGCCGCGGTGAAGGTGAGTTTTGTGGAGTCATGGTGCACACAGTTCCCTCTGGTTTCAGTCTGGGATTCAAGAAGCACCTGCTGAGTATCTGTGCCAAGCACTCACATGGGTTCCACATAGCACGGGGCTCACTGGGTGAGACCGGGGTGCTGGGTTCAAATCTCCCCTCTGCCTTTGTTATAGGGGGAGAGGAATAGTTCTTTCCTTTGCCCGGGGAAGGGCGGATGGAGATGATAGCTGCTGAGGGCTGAGCTCAGCACCTTGCAAAGTAGTGGGCACTCTGCAAATGTTTGCTGGCCTTCCTGGAGCATGGACTGTGTGGTCCCCATTCCACAGAGGAAAGAACCCGAGGGAGAAACCCACCCAGGGGCTCGAGGCTGGTGGGTTGAACCACATCTTTCTGGCTGAATGCAAAGCTCACGCTGCCTGCAGGGCCCCAAACTGCCCCCGATTGCTGCAGCATCTTCTCCCTTGGGTTTTTCTTCTGCCTCCCAGGCCAGCCAAAGATGAGACCCTCTCCTGCAGCCTGTGTTGAGAGCTTCCTGAGCCAGAAGCCAGTTAGCGCGAGGGCTGGGCCGCCCAGTGAGTGTATCTTCCATCTCCTCCCTGCTGACCTGCCAGCTGGGGCCCAGCTGCCGGGGTTAGACTGCTGCCCCCGGCCTCCTCCCAGCCGCGGCATCCCTCTGTATCCAAAGCAAACGGATCAGGTGCCCTGTGTTCCCTGAGGGGTTTCCTCTCTTGGCCTCGCTAATGGCCCAGCTGACAATGGGAGCCTTGTGCTGGGGCCGGAGAGGCTGGAGAGGGAGTCTCTGTCTCCAGCTGAGGGCCAGGGGGGCCCAGATGCCCCGTCTTGCATCTGCTGCTTGATGGACCACAGAGCAGGGAAGCAAAACCTCAAGTAGGGTGAGCGCTGTGACCCTTGGGGAAGCCCGTCTCTGACCGCCTCTCTGTCCCAGGCCATGGAGAGCAAGCTGCTCATCGGGGGCAGGAACATCATGGATCACACCAACGAGCAGCAGAAGATGCTGGAACTCAAGAGGCAGGAGATTGCCGAGCAGGTAGGGCTGCCAGGGCTCAGGTCCCCTCGTCGCCACACAGTCGTGTCTGGGGGCTGAAGGGCGGGAAGCTGTCATGGACTTGGGGCCCCTGAAACGCCAGGGCTGAGAATCTCAGCTGTGCCTCTCTGGATCCCGTGAGGGCACTGCCCTCCATGATGCTGCCGGCCTGCACAGAGCACCTGGGACCAATCCCAGGCCTTCCACAAAGATGTGAATCTTGCTGACTGCGAGATTCTTTCATAAATCGTCAAGAACCTGTTCATTGGTTACCAATGAGCCATGCAACCACACAAGGAGAGGATGAGGCGGCTTGGAAGCCGGTGTGGTGGGCATCCGTCTGTGTGCCTGCTGCCCCTGGAGGGTGCCAGCCCTCAGGGCTGGGGTCTCTCCGTCCACACAAGGAGGGTCCAAGGGGCTCCGCTTATGCCTGGGGAGCGGTAGACGTGGGCACAGGATGCCTGCTTCTCCCCCTTGGCATCTGACGCCGCGTCTCCTGGAAGGCAGAGCAAGCTGGTCCCCTGGGCTCCGTGCCGCCCAGTGAGCCCCCTGCTCTGCCTTGGCCTAGAAACGCCGAGAACGGGAGATGCAGCAGGAGATGCTGCTCCGAGACGAGGAGACCATGGAGCTCCGGGGCACCTACACGTCCCTGCAGCAGGAGGTGGAGGCCAAGACCAAGAAGCTCAAGAAGGTGAGAGGCAGCGGCAGGGCGCCGGCAGGGCGGCTGGCCCCGGGAGCCACCTCCCCAGTCTGCCCGTCACACTGCCTACACTGCTGGTGCTTGCCGGGGAGGGAGGAGTCCCTCCCATGTGGCCTGGGATAGAGCCCCTGGCCAGGGCTGGGGGTTCATGGGTCAGGAGCTGTCACTGCCGCTCCCCGGAGTTGCCGTCCTCACCATCCTGCGTAACCCCACCCCCACCCCCACCCCCCGGTGTCGCCAGGGTGTAGGAGACCTGGGTGTGGAGACCCATGCAGGGTGTGCTCAGGGAGGGAGCACGAGCCCCCGTGATGGGGCATGGCACAGGGATCTGCTCACAGACCCGGCCCAGGCTGCAGCAGGGACAATGCGTACCTGGGATTCTGGGAAGAACCTGGGGAGCCCTCAAGGCTGCAGATGTGGATGGCCCAGAGCCAACCAGGGCCCAGCACGGTGGGTCGGCTGTGGAGCGGGAGGCCAGTGCTGCCGTCACGCCCACCGTGCAGAGCACCTGGAGAGGCAGGAGCGGCACGTCCCCTTCCCACCTCACTCGGGACCTCCGTCTGGGAGCCCAGGTCTCCAAGTGAGGCCCAGGTCCCAGTTCCTGCTCTTTGCACAAGTCAGCCAGATCTTGGCCAAATCTAAGCCTCAGCTTCCTCATCTGTAAAAAAGGTCAGACCCAAAGTTCCCTTCAGTCTGAGCATCTCTGGTGCGGATGGCAGGTCGGGGCCACCGGCTCAGTGAAGGGGCACAGGGCAGCCCTCTGAGTGGCCGGGCCAGATTCCCAGTGGGTGGGGCAGCAGCGGGCAGCTCGGGCCGGGCTCCCCAGCGTCCTCAGGGCCCAGCCTGTGGACCGGAGCCTCTTTGCAGCCTCGAGCAGCCCCTGAGCTGCCTGTGTCCCCACCCAGCTCTACGCCAAGCTGCAGGCGGTGAAGGCGGAGATCCAGGACCAGCACGACGAGTACATCCGCGTGCGGCAGGACCTGGAGGAGGCGCAGAACGAGCAGACCCGGGAACTGAAGCTCAAGTAGGGGCCCCCGCTGCTCCCCACTGCTCTGGGTCCCCTGCCAGATGCTTCTTTTTCCCGGAGGCCCCCTTCTGACGGTGCCCTCACGCCCAGGTCCATGTGGAAGGAGTGAGGTGTGCCTGAGAGACAGGGACAGGCCCACCTCTGCAGCTTCCGCCATCTCTGCTGTCTGCATCTGTTGAGCCCCAGTGCATTCTGGGTGCTGGCCCCACCCTTCAACCTTTGCATTCAGTGTGTTTTTTAAGACGTTAAGGACCCCTTCCCCCAGCTCTTTTGGTTTCCCACCTTCTCTGCTCCTTGCTCTGACCCTTCAGCCCCCAGGCCCTAGGCAGCCTTGCACTGCCGTCTGCATCCCCACCTCTGTCCCGCCTGCAGGTACCTGATCATCGAGAATTTCATCCCCCCCGAGGAGAAGAACAAGATCATGAACCGCCTTTTCCTGGACTGCGAGGAGGAGCAGTGGAAGTTCCAGCCGCTGGTGCCAGCTGGAGCGTGAGTCCCCTACCTGGTGTCCACCCAGGGCTTGGCAGGCTTGGCCTGGGGCTGCTCAGGGGCCTGAGGCCCAGCCTGCAGGGAGACAGGTGTTGTGTGGCAGGGGGAAGAGCTAGGGAGGACGCAGCTGGAGGACGCTTGGGACCCAGTGTGCAGGGATCTCCATGCAGGAGGGGTGTTCTGTAAAAAGAAATGAGATGCACTGGCCTGGGGTGCAGGTGCCAAACACAGCAACTGTAGCTAGCATGTACCGAGCCCTACTGTGTGTCAGGTACTGCATGAGATCCTGCAGACGGCTCGCAGTCCAGTGGGAATACAGAGAAGTAACTGGATCGTGACATGGCAGAGGTGCCATGCAGCCTCTCCAGCCGGTTTCAGCTGGGTGAGTCAGCATTTCCACCTGTTTCCGCGTCCTAGCGCTGATGGGCAGCTGCGTCCATTGGCTGGGTGTGCAGTGCCCTCTGCTGGTGGCCTTGAATAGCAAGCCAATAGGCTATTCAAGCCCAGCGGAGGTACTGCCTCCCCCAGCTGAGCCACTGTCCGCTTCAGAGGCTGGACAGCAAGGCGCTTCTGGAAGATGCTTCGCTCTCCCTATCCTAGGACTGCCAAGCTAGGGCACAAGTCCCCAAATCTGGGATGGGAAGCTGGCAAGAGGTCTGGAGCTTCTCATGGGAGCACTGGATGCCTGCTTAATCCAGTTCCTGAAAGGCTGAGCCACCGTGACCCTGCACAGGTGTGTAAGGGCCAAGTCCACCGGTAGAGGACTTTCCACTGCTGTCATCTTGGACTCAAACCCGCCTTCCTAACCAAAGCAGGGACTCAGCCGTACGCCGTGTGCTGCAGAGCTCCTCACCCTGGCCACAGCCAGAACTGCCCGTGAGGCGGGGCTACAGACAGCCTCACTTGCAGGCTCTTGCTACATCTCAGGGCTCATGGTTTGTGGTTTCCTCCTGCTCAAGGCGTCCAGGTGACTGCCGCGAGGCCAGGCTTCGACCCCACTGCTGCAGTGCGGCTTGCTAGAGGCGGATGCTGGTGGGGTTTCTGCTCTGTTGGTTATCTGGTGCTCATGCAAGTGCCTGGCTTGCAAGCTTGCAGGTGGGGGAAATTTTTTTACATTGGTTGTAGTCATGCCATCAGTATGCTGAGTGTCAGATGGGGTGAGAGGCGAGGCTGTAAGGTGACTTTTTTTTTAAGATTGATTTTTATTTATTTGGAAGACAAAGTGAGAGAGAGAAAGAGAGAGGAGAAAATCTTCATGCACTGGTTCACTCCTCAAATGGTCTGAATAGCTAAAGCTGGGCCAGACTGAAACCAGGAGCCAAGAGCTTTATCCGGGTCTCCCACATGAGTGGCAGAGGCCCAAGTATTTGGACCTCCCCTCCACTGCTTTCCCAGGCACAATAGCAGGGAGCTGAATCAGAAGGAGCAGCTGGGACTTGAACTCATGCCTATGTGAGATGCTGGCATCACAGGTGGTGGCTTAGCCCAGTGCCACAACTCTGGCCCAACATTCTTTTTTTTTTTTTTTTTAACATTTTAATTTGAAACGTAAGAATAATACAAAGAGGGGCCAGAATTGTGGTGCAGTAGGTTAAGCCACTGCTTGTGATGCAGGCAGTCCATATTATGGTACTGGCTGCTCTGCTTCTGATCCCTTTCCTTGCTAATACCCATGGGAAAGCAATAGTGTACTTAGGCCCTGCCACCCAGATGGCATTCCTGGCTCCTGACTTCAGCCTGGCTTAGATGTGGCTGTTGAGGCCATTTGAGAAGTGAACTAGCAGGTGGACTCTCTCTCTCTCTCTCTCAAATAATTAAATCTTAAAAAAAAAAGTTCTGGGGCTTGTGTGGCTCAGCTGGTGTGGCTGTCACCTGGCATGTGTGCTTCCCATATGAGTACTGCTTTGAGTTTTGACAGCTCCACTTCTGACCCAGCTTCCTGCTAATGCGCCTGGGAAAGCAGTGGAAGATGGTCCAAGTGCTTGGGTCCCTGCTACCCATGCGGGAGACCCAGAAGAAGCTCCCACTTCCTGGCTTTGGCCTGGCCCAGCCCCAGCTATTGTGGCCATTTGGGGAGTGAACCAGCAAATGGAAGCTATCTCTTCCTCTCTCTCTCTCTCTCTCTCTCTTTCTCTCTCTCTCTCTCTCTCTCTGTTTCCCCCTCTCCGTATAACTCTGCCTTTCAAAGTAAACAAATGAATAAATCTTAAAAAAAAAAAAAGAATAGTACAAAGAATTTCTTTGAGCCCTTCATCAAATTGTTAACACTTTTGCAACATTATTAATTCTTCCCTTACTGCCCCCCCCCCCCCATCATTTGGCGTTGAGTTGTGGACAGCCTGGCCCCTTGCCTGCATTTCCTGAGAATGAGGACGCTCTTTTAGGTCACTACAGTGCAATAATCCACTTCAGGGGATGGGGATTCTAGAATAACATAGTGCAAGTTTACTTTTAATTTTTGTCTGTTCCCCAACAATGTCCTTTGTGATAATCCCCTCTTCCCCATTGTCGTGTTTCTTCATGCCTCTTTTTTTTTTCTTTTAAGTTTTATTTATTTATTTGAAAGGCAGAGTTAGAGAGAGAGAGAGAGAGAGAGAGAGAGAATGATCTTCCATCTGCTGGTTCACTCCCCAAATGGCTGGAACATCCAGGGCTGGGCCGTACTGGAGCCAGGAGCCAGGAGCTTCATCTGGGGCTCCCATGTGGATGCAGTGGGCCCGAGCACTTGGGCTATTGCTGCTGCTTTGGCAAGCAGATTAGCAGGGAGCTGGATTGGAAATGAAGCAGCCAGGACACAAATCAGCACCCATGTGCGATGCCAGCACTGCAGATGGTGGCTTTACCCACTATGCCGCAACACTGGCCCCAGAGAAGGGGCGTCGATTTGAGATTCGCAGTTATGTGCTCTCTGGAAGAGTTTCTTCCTTTCTCAGAAGGAAGTCCCTGCAGTTCTAACTGCATCAGTCACATGATCCAGACTTTAAGCCTGGTGCAGGCTTTGGCTGGAGTGAAGATGAGCTTTCTGCTTCATGACCGTGAACTTCCATGTCGCTCCCCCATTCGCGGAGGAACGACACCACACCCTGCGCTGTTCTTTTTGCCCGGCCCTCCCCGGGTTAGCTGCCAGTTCCCCTACTCGCGGAGGAACGACGCCGTCCCGGGTTAGCTGCCGGCCCCCCGCCTCCGCGGAGGGGCGGCACACCGCAGGCCGGCTCTCTCAGGGGCTGCTCAGATGTTCCTCAGATGTTGCCCAGTGCATGCTATCTCTCTCCTCCTTTATAGTCCTCTTCTACCAATCCATGCTCTGCTGCCCACACGCCGAGCACACTGCTCTCCTCCAATCAGGAGCAGGATCGGCTTCTGCAGTTTATCAGTCGAATTGGCGAGGCAGCTGCGTGGAAGTTGTTTGCTCTCTCTCAGCGCCATGTTGTGGGAGAGCAGATGCATAGAATAAGTCCTAATTCCAGTAACTTAGTCTAGTCTCAGTTGCTCCCCACACTTCCACACTTAAGAAAAAACAAAAAGGCTGTTTGTTTATTTGAGAGGCAGAGAGTGTAAGGGAGCTCTCATCTGCTGGTTCACTCCCCAGATGCCTACAGCAGCCAGGGCTGGGCCAACGCTGGGAGCAGGGATGCCATCCAGTCTCCCGTGGGGGTGGCAGCAGCCCGTTTACTTGAGCCATCCCTGCCGCCCCCAGAGTCGGTATTAGCAGGAGGCTGGAGTCAGGAGCTGGAGCTGCGCATCCAACCCTGATTCTGTGACGTGGGATGCAGTCATCTAAGCCACGAGGCTGAATGCCCCTCTCATGAGCTGCCCTTCTTTATGTTTTCTTAAAGTTGGGGGAGGTGTTGAGTGCAGCATCCGGGTACCTGGCTGTCCAAGTCCCTGGGGTCAATGTTGTAGGAGGGAGCAGATGAAGGCTCGAGTATTTGGGTCCCTGCCACCTTTGTGGAGACCTGGATTGGGATCTGGGCTTTTGGGCAGATCTCTACTTCAGGTCTGCATTTGAGGAGTGAACCAGCAGACGGAAGATCTCTTTCTGCCTCTCTCTGTCTCTGTATCTCTGTCTCTATGTCTATCAAACAAAATAAGAACAATTTTAAAATAAAAATAAATATTTTTTAAATTTCTCATAACTCTTCGTTAAGTTGCAGAAGTAATATGTTTTTGGCCGGCGCCGTGGCTTAATAGGCTAATCCTCTGCCTGCGGCGCCAGCACGCCAGGGTCTAGTCCCGGTCGGGGCGCCGGATTCTGTCCCGGTTGCCCCTCTTCCAGGCCAGATCTCTGCTGTGGCCCGGGAGTGCAGTGGAGGATGGCCCAAGTCCTTGGGCCCTGCACCCCATGGGAGACCAGGAGAAGCACCTGGCTCCTGCCTTTGGATCAGCGCGGTACGCTGGCCGCGGCCGCCATTGGAGGGTAAACCAATGGCAAAAAGGAAGACCTTTCTCTCTGTCTCTTGCTCTCACTGTCCACTCTGCCTGTTCAAAAAAATATATATATATATATGTTTTTGTTAAGGGAAATTTAGATAGGCATTGAAAGAATGAAAATATGTCCATTTAGTGGTGATGTCTGCGAACATTTGAAAATAAACTTTCCATATTTTATGTTTTTTAAGATTTAGTTATGTATTTGAAAGGTATAGTTATAGGCTTTCCTTTCCTTGGCCTTTTGCCATTACGGGACTTGCTACAGCCCTACGCCTCCAGGGTGCGTAGCCTTTGGGCCTCCCGCCCCCATGTTTCCTGGCCTAGATGCTCCTCCATGTGGCTGGTTCCTGGTAGTCAGTATGAACCCAGATTTACCTCTCTCTCTCTTAGATAAAGCCCTCACTCTCCTTTGCATCTTTTGCACTGAATAAAAGCTTAAAAATGTTAAAAAAAAAAAAAAAAAAAGAAAGAAAAGAAAGATGGAAAGGTATAGAGACAGAGGGAGACACACAGAGAGAAAGATCTTCCATCTGCTGGTTCACTCCCCAAATGGCTGCAACAGCTAGGGCTGGGTCAAGTCAAAGCCCAGAGTCTGGAACTACATCTGGGTCTCCCACGTGGATGCAGTGGCCCAAGCACTTGGGCCATCTTCCATTGCTTTCCCATGCACATAAGCAGGAAGCGGGATCAGAAGGGGAGCAGCCAGGACTCAAACTGGTGCCTGTATGGGATGCCAGTGCCACAGATGAAGGCCTAACCCACTATAGCACAGTGCCAGCCCCTCCCCCCTTTTAAAGGCTTACTTTATTTATTTGAAAGGCAGAGTTCTGGGGTGAGGGGTCGGGGGAGAGCTAGAGATGGGGAGATTTTCCACCTGCTGGTTCACTCCCCAAATGGCTGCAGTGGGTGGGTCAGGGCTGGGCCAAGCCAAGGCCAGGAGCTTTATCCAGGTCTTCTACATGGGTGCAGGGGTCCAAGCACTTGGGCCATCTTCCACTGCTTTCCTGGGTGCATTAGCAGAGAGCTGGATCAGAAGCTGAACACTCGAACTGGCACCCATATGGGGAACTGGCACCCCTATGGGATACTGGGGCTGCCAACGGTGGTTTAACCTTTTGCACAAAACGACTCTGGCCCCCAAACTTGCTATTTTTTTTTAAGTTTTATTTATTTATTTGAAAGTCAGAGTTACACAGAGAGAAGAAGAGGCAGAGGGAGAGGGAGAGGGAGAGAGGTCTTTATCCACTGGTTCAGTCCCCAAATGGCCGCAACGGCTGGAGCTGCGCCGATCTGAAGCCAGGAGCCAGGAGATTCTTCCGAATCTCCCATGTGGGTACAGGGGCCCAAGGACTTGGGCCATCTTCTACTGCTTTCCCAGGCCATAGCAGAGAGCTGGATCAGAAGTGGAGCAGCCAGAACTAGAACCAGCGTCCATATGGAATGCTGGCCCCGCAGGCGGAGGATTAACCTGCACCACAGCACTGGCCACAAGGAATATATATTTTATACAGAAAATATTCAAAATATATCTATCTGCATAAGGGTAAAAGACTAAGGCAGTTATGCACATAGTATTCTCCACTGAATACAAATTATATGAACAGTTAAAACCAATTGTTCTAAAAAGAACTCCAAGAAAGAAATTACTTAGAAAAAATATTTAAGAAATAGCAAATAATACTGAGATTTTTTTCCTTTTCTTTTCTTTCTTTCTTTTTTTTTCTTTCTTTCTTTCTTTTTTTTTTTTTTTTTTTTTTTTTTTTTTTTTTTTGGTCACTGTCCAGTTTGCAATGTCTGGTGGCTGCAGTATTTAATATTTATTTCAGAACTTAAACAAAAAAAATTAACACAAACACAAAAGACAATAAAAATGGACCCAGGAATTTTTTTATATGAAACAGGTTTTTTAAATTACTTTTTCAAATGCAGTGGTGGTTAGAATAAAGTAAAAAAACAATTCCGTCATAATTGCAATCCCAGTTGTGACTGTGACCCAGCAGAGGGAGCCGGGCAGGGCAGCCTGGCGGGCCAGGGACCTCCCGAGCATCTGCCCCACGTCGCGCTCTGGCGGTCGGGACTTCCAGCTGGACTTCTGGAGCTCAGCTCTCCTCATCCAGGGCTCCCTGCCGTGGAACGAGCCCCCCAGTCCCCAGAGGAAAGGCTCCCACCCTCCGCCACGTAACCTAATCAGGGCTGGGAAACAGAGAAGCACTTTCTCTCCAAAGCATATTTAACTAATCAGGGCATTGTCGCGTCCGCTGCACGCGGGGGCTGGAACACGCCGCTCGGCTGTGGCCTGTGGTGTTCTCGGTTTGGGAACACGGAGCCCTGCTCAGCGTGAGAGGAAAACTCATTGTCCGACAGAAACTACCTAAGGTCACGCTGTCCCTGGAGCAAGCTTTTGCTGGAAAAACATTTTGCCGCCTCCTCCTCAGGCGACAGGCAGCTCCCCCCACGTTCTCCCCCAGCCTCCTCTAGAACAAGGGGTCATTGTCAGCCGTGCGGACGCCTCGTGCTCTCGCGCTGGCTTCTCCACCATCGCTCTGCAGCCATGGGGGAAGACAGAAGAAGTCCAGGTGATTGCCTGCCGCCCCCCCACCCCAGTCTTGTGTTAAAGTGACCGTGACCGTGCAAAAAACATTTTTGCAACCAGCTGGAGCAGTGACTGCTTTACAAATATGACCTGGATTTCCTTTGTCCTCGTGTTTATACAAAATTGTCTTCTAAGGGTAAGATGTCTGAGCGTGTCCCTAGCCCTCTGCTTACAGTTCACAATGTTCCGTTGGAACTATAGCCCTCTGGCCTCAGCCACCCCAACACCTGCAGTTCTTTTCAAAATATCAGCCAAAGGGAGAGACTGGGTTTAGGGCTTAGATCACGCTCAATTCTAGTCGCTGCTCTGCCGCTTACACAAGGCCTTCACCTCTGGGAAGGTGAAGCGGGGAGAATAACATGTATCTCGTAGGATTGTTGAGGTTGAAATGAAGTCCTGTAGCCTGCCAGTCTGCACCTGTCCTAGAGGGCGAGTCCTTTGCTCTAAGAAGAAGAGGAAGTAGAGCCGGTTTCATCTCTCGGGAACACTCTTAGCTCCCCGTTGAGCCCCTGGATTTATTGTTATTGAGAGGGAGAAAGAAAGAAAACGCCCATCCTGTGGTTCACTCACCAAATGCCTGCAATGCCTGGGGCTGGGCTAGGCCGAAAGCAGGAGCCAGGAACTCAGCCCAGGTCTCCCTCGTGGGTGCAGGAGAAACAACTCATTGAGCCACTGCTGCTGCCTCCCAGGGTCTGAAGGAGCAGGAAACTGCAGTCTGGCACCCATGGAGCTGGGACTCAACCCAGGTACTCCAGTGTGGGAGACCGCTGAAGACCAGCGTCTTGGCCAGCGCCACGGCTCACTAGGCTAATCCTCCGCCTGCGGCGCCGACACCCCAGGTTCTAGTCCTGGTTGGGGCGCCAGATTCTGTCCCGGTTGCTCCTCTTCCAGTCCAGCTCTCTGCTGTGGCCCGGGAGTGCAGTGGAGGATGGCCCAAGTGCTTGGGCCCTGCACCCGCATGGGAGACCAGAGGAAGCACCTGGCTCCTGGCTTCGGATCAGCGCAGCGCGCTGGCCGTGGCAGCCATTTGTGGGGTGAACCAATGGAAGGAAGACCTTTCTCTGTCTCTCTCTCTCACTAACTCTGCCTGTAAAAACAAACAAACAAAAACAGCTTCTTAACCGCTAGACCGAACACCTGCCTGAGTCCCCGGGTTTCTGCTCAGGCCTGTGAGAATTGAAACAGGGAGACGGGGAGAAGGGGCAGCCCTCGCAGGCTGGGGTGGGGCAGCGTGACAGAGAAATGAGCAGAGGGAGACCACACAGAGATGAGTCTGGTTGGCCACGTTGGCTGCCTTGAAGGACCTGGAAGGAAACACCCAGCGGTGTTGGGTGCCTGTATTCAGAACAGGGGAGGGAAGAGGGTGATCAGACCGGGCCAGCAGTGGGAATAATGGCGTCAGCCTCTGGGATGGAGCCAAGAGATGGTTTCTTTCTTTTATTTTTTTAGTATCAAGGGAAGAAAACAAGATGATAGCAGCCAATTGTGGAGGGAGGGTCCTGGGAGAGAGCACTCACGGGATCTACCAAGCACGTGACTGCTGTGGCTGGTGTGGGGCGGGGCGGTGGGTGGCTGCAGAGCCAGACCACGGCTCTGGGCTGCTGGCCACAGCCTGCGCACCACAGAGGGAGCAGTCACAGCGGGCCTGGGGCAGCAGAGGGAGCAGACGGGGAGGTCAGTGTCCCAGTTACAGACTCCCTTCCCCCAGCCCCTTTCCCGCACACCACCCAGAATAGCCCTGGCACCTTCACCGGGTCAGGCTGCCAACTCACGCTGATCCTCTGCTCAGCGCTCCCTGTCCTGCCTGCAGAGCCTGCACTGTCAGAGGCGCACTGTGGCGCTCCTGAGAGGCAGCCCACTGCCATCCAGAGGGTCCTTGGGAGGGTTCGGATTCCCGCTGCTCTCCCACCTTTCTGAGCCACAGGCTCCTTGTGGACTCCGCCCGCACCCTGGGGGGTTGCCCTGAAGCTCAGGTGCACTGCCGGGCAGCTGCTGACAGTGACCAGTTGTTTCTGTCCTCACTTCCCCCTCCCCTGGTTTTCAGTGGCCTGTGTCGCAGGCCGTCTTCTTGCCACCGCTGTGGCTGCCTGTCCCCATGTGCACCGACCCTCATGCAGCAACAAAGTGGCCTTGTCTGTCCTGGTTTTCATCTGTACAGAGGGTCTGCAAGGACCCCTGGGCGGGGGCACCTCCCTTGTACGTGGGTGATAAAGGGAGCCCCCAGTGTTGCTGCCCGCCCCTCCCCACGGCACAGCGTGTTCTCCTCTGCGGGACACAGTGTCCTGTCCCCGAGTTGCTCCGCCTGCCTCGTCCCCTCCTCTGCCTCCCAGTGCGCGCCTTTGGACTCTTCCCGTTGCTCGTTTTGTTGGTGTCCCTATTGGAAATTAGCAAGAACTGAGAACAAATACTCGTCGCAGCTGCCCGTGGTGAGCCCTCGCGGCTGTGTGCTGAGTGCTTGTCTCAGCAGTCCTCAGGGTGGGGATGGCACAGCTGCAGCTCCGAGACAGAAAAGCCACTTCTCAAGGTGACAGAGCTTCTGGGCCAGGGCCGCCATTCAAACCTGGGTCAGTCTTATTCTCAAACCTGTGCCGCTTTATTTTGAAAAATGGAAATAGCTTCGTTTTCCTTCCTCTCCCTCCGGTGTTTTTGTTTTTGTTTTGTAATAAAAAAATCAGATATCACAGTCATCAAGTTGCTAAAAGTAAAAAGTCTGACGCGCTGTGAGTTTCCTAGGATATGAAGCAGTGGAGACGTTTCCAGGTACAACCCTTGAAAAGCAATTTGGCGACATCTGGTGCAGCTGGAAATGCGCATGCCCTGTAATGCAACACTGCGTTCCTGGTCAATTCTGCAGGAAAATGGTGGCTGTGTACACGAAAATACCTGTACAGGAATGTCCAAGTTATCGCAGCAGCACTGTGTTTTATAGCCAAAAAAAAAAAAAAGGAGGAAAAAGAGAACAGTCAACCTATATGCCTATCTTTTTTTTTTTTTTTAAGATTTATTTATTTATTTGCAAGTCAGAGTTACAGAGAGAGGAGAGGCAGAGGGAGAGAGAGAGGTCTTCATCCGAGGGTTCAGTCCCCGGTTGGCTGCAACGGCTGGAGCTGCACCAATCCGAAGCCAGGAGCCAGGAGCTGCTTCTGGGTCTCCCACAAGGGTGCAGGGGCCCAAGGACTTGGGCCATCTTCTACTGCTTTCCCAGGCCATAGCAGAGAGCTGGATCGGAAGAGGAGCAGCCAGGACTAGAACCAGTGCCCATATGGGATGCCGGCACTTCAGTCCAGGGCGTTAACCCACTGCGCCACAGTGCCGGTCCCTATATGCCTATCTTTTTTAAAAAAAAATTTTTTTAAAGGATTTATCTATTTGAAAGAGTTACAGAGAAAGAGACAGATCTTCCATCCACTGGTTCATTCCCCAAATTAGCGCAACCTCTAGAGCTGGGCTAATCTGAAGCCAGGAGCCAGGAACTTATTCCAGGTCTCCCATAGGAGTACATGGGCCCAAGTACCTGGGCCATCTTCTGCCACCTTCCCAAGTGCATTTGCAGGGAGCTGGATCGGAAGCAGAGAAGCCAGGACTCAAACTGGTGCCCATATGGGATGCTGGTGCTGCAGGTGACAGCTTAACCCACTGTGCCACAGCGCCAGCCCCAGATGTAGGAGAATATGTAAGTACACATGGATTTCAGAGACTTTTGCACCAAATTAAACTTACCTTTTCTTTCTATTTTCTTCAGACTTTTATTAATTTATTTATGAGAGAGAGAGAGAGCTCCCATCTGCTGGTTACTACTCAAATGCTACAATGGCTGAGGATGGGCCAGAGCCAAAGCAGGGGGCCAGGAGCATAACCCAGGTCTCCCACATGAGTGGCAGGAGCCCAAATACTTGAGCCATTACCTGCCGCCTCTCAGGGTGCACATTGGCAGGAAGCTGGGATTTGAAACCAGGCACTCCGGTATGATATGTGGGGGTCTTAACTGTTAGGTCAAATGCGTGCCCCCACACATGGATCGTACAGAACATTCGTGGAAAATGGAATGAAATTATGTTTATTTTGGTGCAAATTTTTTGAAATTAACATATAATTTTTTTCATAACATACAGTGAGCTTTTTGGAATATAGTATGATAGATAAGATTTCCTGATTAGAAAGTAATAAAATGTTATATTGAAACCTTGAAATACTCAATGTAGCAATGCAGTTACACTTGAATAATACAGGGCTACATGGATAAATCTAAAGACTTTGCTGAACACAAAAAGAAAGCAGTTCAGGGAGCAGTACTGTGATGTAGCAGTGCAGTTGCCACTTGCAATGCCAGCATCCCATGTCACAGTGCTGGTTTGAGCCCCAGCTGCTCAACCTCTGATCCAGCTTCCTGCTAATACACTTGGAAAGACAGCAAAAGATGGCCCCCCACGTGGGCCATCCTCCAGAACTTTCCCAGGCACATCAGCAGGGAGCTGGATCGGAAGTGAAGTAGCCAGGACTTGAACTGTCACCCATAAGGGATACTGGCGTTGCAGGTGGTGGCTTAACCTGCTGAGCTACAACACCAGCCCCTATATACATATATTTTTTTAAGATTATTTATTTGAAAGTCAAAGTTAGAGAAGGAGAGGCAGAGAGAGAGAGAGAGAGAGAGAGAGGTCTTCCATCTGCTGGTTCACTCCGCAGTTGGGCACAACGGCCAGAGCTGCCCCAATCCTGGTCTCCCATGCAAGTGCAGGAGCCCAAGGACTTGGGCCCTCTTCCACTGCCTTCCCAGGGCATAGCAGAGAGCTGGATCAGAAGTGGAGCAGCCAGGACTCGAACCTGCGCCCCGATGGGATATCAGCACCACAGGCAGTGGCTTCACCTGTTACGCCACAGCACCAGCCCCTGCCCCTATATTTTATTTCTTTAAAAAAAGATTTGTCATAAGGATAGCAAATGTTAAGATTTTGCAAAACTGGGTGGTAGGTGTGCACGTAAATAGATAGGATTTCCTGCACTTTTCAAATGTTTGAATTGTTTTATTAGATATAAAACTACAAGCATTTCTATTGCAAAAAACCCTCAGTATTACAGAAAGGCATAAAGAAGGTCGGCGCCGCGGCTCACTTGGCTAATCCTCCACCTCCGGCGCCGGCACCCCAGGTTCTAGTCCCGGTCGGGGCCCTGGATTCTGTCCCGGTTGCCCCTCTTCCAGGCCAGCTCTCTGCTGTGGCCAGGGAGTGCAGTGGAGGATGGCCCAAGTGCTTGGGCCCTGCACCCCATGGGAGACCAGGAGAAGCACCTGGCTCCTGCCTTCGGATCGCACAGCTCACCAGCTATAGCGGCCACTTGGGGGGGTGAACCAGCGGAAAAAGAAGACCTTTCTTCTGTCTCTGTCTTTCTATCTAACTCTGCTGTCAAAAGGGGGGGGGGGCATAAAGAAAATAAAAATCACCCATAATCACACAATAAAAGATAATAGATATTAACTTTTTTGAATACCTAGACTTTTTTCCTAAGCATTCGGAGGTGTACATACGCATTTTTAACAGAAGTTGTGTGTAGAAGATTAGTCTCAATTGTTTCTTCGTTATCTCTGCCCTTCTCCTTTCCTACTTGGCATGATTTGGCTTTCTGTTCGCGGATCTTTTTGTGGTCTCTGTGCAGTTTTAGCTTAGGAATACCGCCTTGCTGGGGTGAACGCCCACATGGACGGTTGTGCCTTGGCCTCTCCTTGCTGCGCCCGCTGAGTGCAGATGACGTATTTCCTCCTGTAAACCTGGACTGCTTTGCAGTCTGTGGCCTTTACGGGCACAACGTGCACTTCACCATCCGTTTGAATAGGCTGGGTTGCACACTGCCGCCCGTCTCAGCCCTCTGGGAAGAGAGGAAGACATATTTTCTGAGAGTGTGGGAAGGAGCGTTGAAAAGCCTTTTTCAGTTCTTGCTCTGGTCAGAAGTCACAAAGAGTTTGAACTTCTTTAAAAAAAAAATATTTATTTATTTTATTTTAAAGGCAGAGTTACAGAGAGAGAGAGAGAGAGAATCTTCCATCTGTTGGTTCAGCCCCACAAATGGCTGCAATAGCCAGGACTGGGTCAGGGTGAAGCCAGGAGCCAGGAGCTTCATCCAGGTCTCCCATACGGGTGCAGGGGCCCAAGCACTTGGGCCATTTTCCGTTGCTTTCCCAGACCACAGCAGAGAGCTGGATCAGAGGTGGAGCCGCTGGGACTCCAACCGGCGCCCATATGGAATGCTGGCGCTGCAGGCCAGGGCTTAACCTACTGAGCCACAGCCCCGGCCCCTGAATAATATATTTTTAAATTATTTATTTATTCATTTGAGAGGCAGAGATAGAAAAAAAGAGAGCTCCCATCCATTAGTGTACTCCCCAGATTCCCACACTGGCTAAATCTGGGCTGAGACTGAACCAGGAACTGAGAACTCACCCCAGGCCCTCCACATGCCAGGACCCCAATTATTTGATCAATGTTCGCTGCCTCCCAGGGTCTGCATTAGCAGGAAGCTTTGTCGGGAGTCGGAGCCGGGCATTAAACCCAGGCACTCCCATAGGGGAAGCAGGCTCTTAACCAGCATCTTAACCACCAGACCAAATGCCTACCCCAAATACTAATTTACTGTCTCCTACTCATGCATACTTGGTTGTTTCTGATTTTTTCCAATTATAAGTAATGCCTCAGTCAACACCCCTACGCATAATATTTTTGTCTTCATCTTTGGTTATTTCCTTAGGGAAATTCCTAGGAATGGAAGTTTGGGTCAAAAAATAAGTACTTTTAAAAAGCCAAACCTGAGTTTTGTTTTATTTTGTTTTTTAGGTTTTTTTTTAATTTATTTATCATTTGAAAGGCAGAGTTACAAAGAGGCAAAGAGAGAGAGAGAGAGAGAGAGGTCTTCAAAAAATAGGAAAACATTCATTGTGTGTTTCTGATCATATGGAGGAGCGTCAGGTGCATTCCTGGTGGAGAACTGGCTTCAAGCAGGCGTGGATGAGGACTCAACCCTCCATCACTCGTCTGGAAGAATCTCCCACAGACTGGATTTTGGCTATGTAGATTTCTTTAAAAAATAGTATTTATTTATTTATTTTGAAAATCAAAGTTGCACAGAGAAAGAAGGAGAGGCAGAGAGAGAGAGAGAGAGAGAGGTCTTCTATCCACTGGTTCACTCCCCAATTGGCTGCAACGGCCGGAGCTGCGCCAATCTGAAGCCAGGAGCCAGGAGCCTACTTCGGGTCTCCCACACAGGTGCAGGGGCCCAAGCACTTGGGCCATCTTCTACTGCTTTCCCAGGCCATAGCAGAGAGCTGGATCGGAAGTGAAGCAGCCAGTGGGATGTCAGCACTGCAGGTGAATGCCTAACCTACTACTCCACAGAGCCAGCCCCTGGCAAAACCTTTTCAAGGTGTCTGGGGTGGGCATTTGTTGCAACAGTTCCCATGCTGCCTGGGATGCCGCTCCCATACGGGAGTGCCTGGGGTCCAGTCCTCGGCTTCCATTCCAGCTTCCTGCTAATGCACACCCTGGGAGGCAGCAAGTGATGGCTCAAGTACTTGAGTCCCCGCTGCCCACATAGGAGACAGACCTGGGTTGAGTTCTGGGCTCCTGGCTTTGGCCTGGCTCAGCCTCGGCTATTGTAGGCATTTGGGAAGTGAATCAGCAGATGGAAGATAGACTCTCTCTCTCTCTGCCTTTTAAATAAACATAAAAATTTGTTTTAAAAAGATTTGGATTATATCCATATATCAGTACTACAACCCCCCCCCCCCCTTTCAAAAATATTTATGTGAAATGCAGAGTAACAGAGCGGGAGATCTTCTATCCACTGTTCACTCCCAAAATGGCTGCAACAACCCGGGCTGGGCCAGGCCAGAGCCAGGAGCCAGGAGCTAGGAATGCCATCTGAGTCTCCCACGTGGGTGCAGGGCCCCAAGCACTTGGGCCATCTTCCACTGCTTTTCTAGGGCACATTCGCAGGGAGCTGGACCGGAAGCAGAGCAGCCAGGACTCAAAGCGCTGCTCCTGTGTGACGTTGTCGTCTCGGGTGGTGGTCTAACCCACCCCAGCAGCCGTGTCTTGAGGTCACATCACCTGCGCTTTCTCTCTCTAACCACGCCTCTCCCCCGCAGCAGTAGCAGCCAGATGAAGAAGCGGCCAACGTCCGCTGTGGGCTACAAGAGGCCGATCAGCCAGTATGCTCGCGTTGCCATGGCAATGGGGTCCCACCCCAGGTACCGGGTAAGGAACTGGGGAGTAGACGCGGGGTGGGAGGGGATGCCCCCCGCCTCTGCCTCCTCCGACTGCCTCCCAGCCCGGCCTGGGCTCCCTGGGTGCCCGCAGAGGGCTCACCAGTGGCGTGGTGTTGGCCTCACAGGCTGAGAACATCATGTTCCTGGAGCTGGACGTGTCCCCGCCAGCCATCTTTGAGATGGAATTCTCCCAAGACCAAGAACAGGACCCTCGCGCGCTTCACATGGAGCGGCTCATGCGGTTGGACAGCTTTCTGGAAAGACCGTCCACGTCCAAAGTCCGAAAGTCCAGATCCTGGTCAGTAGCGGGGCGCTCGGCGCTAGCGCTGGACTTGGGGGGCGGGGGAGGGGGGAGACGGGTGGCTGGGCCAGGCTGAGGAGGGCTCTGGGGGACACAGGGTGGGGGCTGACGCGGGCTGTGTGGAGGGAAGCAAAGGCGCGGCTGTCCTACTTCCCGCACTTCATGTCCTCCCCCATCCCGGGTCCCCGCAGGTGCCAGAGTCCTCAGCGGCCTCCCCCCTCCTCCGCACACGCCCCGCTGGCCTCGGCTTCTCTGCACCCCTCGACCGTGGCCGACCACGAGTGAGAGCGCCACAGTCAGGTCGCCCAGCAGATGGACTCCTGGGATGGGGCAGCCAAGCGCGGCCTGCGGCTTGGTGCGGGTGCGTGCGCGTGTGCGTGCATGTGCGTGGGTGGATGTGTGCAGGGGTGGGGATCCGGCGGGCGGAGCGCCTGCCTGCCGGTCTTCACCTCCTTTATTTAATTCATGTTATTTATTCGTGGAGCGCCTTCGTTGGTGTGGGGCAGGGGCCCTCGTCTGCGCTCTGAGGGCCTGCAGCGGTCTGTGCGCCGCCTCCTTTCCCGCTGGCTTCACCGTGCAAGTCGGATCTGGGCGCCTGCCCGTGCCGCTGCCCCCGAGGGGAAGGGGGCCCGAGTTTCAGCCGACAGGACTTTTCTGCCGCCGCCGCCGCCACCTCCTGCCACGCTGGTGGTGAGCAGTCCCCTGAGCGCTCTGTGGGACTCAGAGACGCTGGGGTGCCCCCCCCCAGGACCGGGGAACAGAGCCCAGCCGTGGCTTCCGGGGGCGCGCGCGGATGGCCTCTTCCAGCCTTTTGGGCTCTGCTGCAAGGACTGCACTGGCCTCTCCGACACGTAGCACCTGCTCCTCGGCCTTGGCACGGACTCACGGCTGCCCCAGCTGCTTCCTGCTCACCTCCCCACCCCCTGGATGGGAATGCCACCTGGGGACCAGCAGGAAAGGCGCTGGCCATGGAGACAACGCGACAGGCCCAAGGGGTGGCCCTCCTCTGCGCCACAAGCCCCGAGCCAGCTCCGCAGATCTGAGACAGGGCTCCTTCCTGTTTTCTTCATTTTCCCCTGCAGCTGCGAGGTCCCAGCTCCCAGTGCGATGGATCCAGGTCATCCTGCCCCTGGCTCCACAAATATTCCAACATCTGTTGCTTGTCCCGCCTGGTTTGGCACAGGAAAAGGAGACCCTGGGCACAATCCCGGCCAGCTTGCCCTTCCATGCCCCCGTCTCTGAATCCCGCTCTGCTGAACACCCGTCCTTTTCTCACCCGTTGTGCACATTGGTCCCCGGGCTGATAACCCAGATGCCTCCGGGAATCTCCAGTGGTTATTCCCACCAAAAACAAAGAAGAAAGAAAGTGAAGTTGCACTGACGTAGTTTTCAGGGGTTCATTCTGGTGGAGGGCAGAGGAGGCAAGGAAGTGAGGAAGGATTTCAGGGTGCCCTGATTGGGGGGGGGTCTCTAGTCCCTAGAGGCTGCGGAACGACGTCCTGGGGGGACAGGCACGACAGTGACGGGCGCGCCAGCTGTGGCAGGGCAGGCGGCGGGAGTATTCTCTTTGCTGGAGGAAACGCTCCCTTCCAGCTCTGAGGCTCGGGCTGCCGTCCCGTCTGCCATGATTGCCGGGCCAGATGGTGCAGCCGCTCGGTTGCCATTGACTCCGATTCTCCACGGTTTCGCTCAGAGCCCCTCAGAGGTCGTTTGAGACTCAGGAACAGATCAGAGGTGGTGGCTGGGGCTGGAGCAGGAGGTGGGAGCAGAAGTGCCCCAGGTGGACACAGGGGACTCGCGGGGCCGTGGGGAGCAGCCCCTGCCACCGGGCTGTTCCGCATTTGTGGACAGAGCCCATGTCACCCCACCCATCACTTGGACACACCGACTTTGCTCTGTCTGGTCACTCGTCTCTCACAGTCTTAGAGCACAACACCCCACCTTCACCACCGGCAGTCCGAGCGCTGGCCCGGCGTTTGGGCGGAGGAGGAGCTCCTGCCTGCAGTTTTGTGTACGTGTGTGCGTGCGTGTGCGTGCGCGTGCGTGTGTTTGTGTGTTTGTTTACCTCCACAGGGGACACTCCACACTCAGCGTAAGATGTGCTGGGAACAGAGCCACCGAGGGTGGCTGCATCTCAGTCTCTCTGTCTCTCTCCCTCTCCTTTTGTTGTATCACGCTTTGGGTTGACAGAATAAGGGCCTTGAATAGGACCAAATTTCCGTGTCTGTTGCTATGGTCTTTATTTAGGATGACAGTTAAATGCAGTGGCCCCTTCTTGTCACTCTATACATACGACTAAAAGGGACACATGTAATATATAAATATATATATAAAGCGTTACTTTCTGTCCCCTCGGCTTAGGATGGAGGCCTCTCTCGGAGCTGAACTGCACCTGCAGCCGGGTGCGGCCAGCAGCCCACAGGCCCCAGCCCTGATCAGATTAACACAGTTGACAATAAAGGAATGAGTATTGTTGCGAGTCGGTCGCCTGCCTCTGCGCTTTCTGCTTTTACTCTCTTGTTTCCGCGTGCTCCCTTGTCTCTCTTCCTTGCTTTTGCAGTCGGGGTTCCAGAGTGTCTGGAGCCCAGCCACAGTTACCAGTAGCTCCGAGAAGAGCTGGCTGCTGAGTACAAGGGGAGCTGCCTGTCCCCGAGGACTGAGTGGCAGGTCCCAGGCTCTCGTCTGTGCCAGGGCTGTGGCAGCAGCTGCTCGTCTTCCAGGCTTGCAGTCCCCAGCCAGTTAGCGCTGAGCTCTTAGCAGATTTCAGAACATCCCAGGTGGTGTCCAGATCAGCGGTCCATGTCACACCGCCATCTGCTTCTGCATGTATCCGCTGAGAGTGCTTCCGGCAGGAAATAACACACAGCACGCAGAGGTGGTACTTGCCACGTGTTGGGTGCTGCTGCCCTGTGTCCTCTCCTCCCTCTGGGTTCTAGCGATTGGCTTCAGTGTTGTGGAGATCTTTCGGGAAGCAACCTCGCTGCTAAAAAACCAACACAAACCCTGACCTCCAGTGGGGCACTGAGGCCCACCTGGTACAGAGCCAGTTTCTGTGACACTTCCTTGGAGGGACTCCCAGTGCCGAGCTGTGACGGGGGCTGGTGTGACGCTGCAGCTGCTGGAGTGGCATTTGCCAGGTGTTGTGTGTGTGTGTGTGTGTGTGTGTGCTGCTGTGCACACATGGACCGCCTAACCCCTCCTCCCTCCCAGCCAGGAATTACCGCCGCTGGTTTACAGACGAGAGTTAGGGAAGTGAGCTCGCTTGGCTGAAGACGGCAGTGAAGCTGGGCTTCCAGACCCCAGAGCCTGCGTTTTCCCTGTGCCTCTGCTTATGCAGCCCGTGGAAAAACACAGGCACCCTAAGTGTCTCACAGGCAGTAAGAGCCGGGGCAGAGGACGGAGTGGGGGGTCTCAGCCGGCTGGATGGGAATAAGACTGGCCTTTAGAGCCTTGCATGAGGGCCAAGGTGGTCCAGAGCACTGTGGAGTCGGTGGAGGGCACGAGCACCCCTCGGCCTGGCTCCAGGTAGTCCACAAGAAAACTGCTATGTTTGGCTCCCTTCTCTAAGACTGGACCCCTGGTCCGCACAGAGCCTAGGGCTGGGGTGTGTCTTGGATAGGCTTATGTAGGCTGGCCTGGTGGCCAGCGTGACTGCACAGCAGTGTTAAGCAGCTGCTAGCAACACCCCATCCCATATGGGAGCGCCAGTGTAAGTACCAGCTGCTCCACTTCCAATCCAGCTCCCTGCTAATGTGCCTGGGAAAGCGGCAGAGAATAGGTCCCCTGCACACACATGGGAGAAGTGGAAGAAGCTCCTGGCTCCTGGCTTCAGCCTGGCCCAGCCCGGTTGCAGCCATCTGAAGAGTGAACCAACAGATGGAAGATCTTCTCTCTGCCTCTCCCCTTCTCTTTAACTGTGCCTCTCAAATAAATAAAATAAATCTTTTAAATAATAAGATGAAATAATGATGACCTCTTCCCCACCCAACCCCCACTGGCAGCTGCTCACAGAGACATTACAGAATTGTAGAACGAAGAGCCCCATCATTGCAAGGGGTTGTGATGACTGTAGCAGGGTAAAGATCAGTTGCCTAAGGGAGAGCCAGAGTAACTGGGGGTTAAACAAGATAAAAGTTGTATTACTCTCTTATATAGTGGCATGGGCGGAGGCAGACCTGGGCTAGGTTTGGAGACTAGACTCCTTCCGTTGTCTTAGAGTTTGTTTGTTTATTTTCATCTATTTGAAAGGCAGAGAGAGAGAGCATCCATCTGCTGGTCTACTCCCCAGTACCCTGTAACAGCTGGGAGCAGGCCAGGCTGAAGCCAGGAGCCTGGGACTCAAGTATGTAAGTCCTCTTGCCTCCGAGGGTGCACACAGCAGGAAGCTGGGATCTGGAGTGGAGCTGAACCCAGGCATTCTGATGTGGCACGTGGGCATCCTAAGCAGTGTCCCTTACACCAAACGCCAGCCTACTGCTAGAGCACCTTTAGAGTCTCCAGCGTGGCCCAGGGTGCTCCTCACCACCTCTGCACCTGGGTTGGTGGACAGGGAGAAAAGGAGAAGAGGGCAAGCCCTGCTCCTTTACAGGAACCTTGAAGTTAAACGCAGCCCATTGGGCAGAACTTGGTCACGTGGCCACGTGCGCTTCCAGGCACAGCTTTATCCTGGGTGGCTGACAGTCACAGCTGTAGGCTGTGGCGCTGTTCTTGTTCAGAACACCTGTCCTTATTCTTTGAGCTCTTTACAATGGCCTCTGCCGAGTCCCAGTGCATCTGTGCCAGGGGTAGAGCCAAGGTTTGCAGGCTTGGGACCTTATAGCATTATGAGAAGAGTGGAGAGGGCTCTTATTAAGAGAAGGGATGAGGGCCGGCACTGTGGCACATCGGGTTAACACCTTGGTCTGAAGCGCCGGCATCCCATATGGGCGCTGGTTTGAGACCTGGTTGCTCCACTTCCAATCCAGCTCTGTGCTATGGCCTAGGAAAGCAGGAGAAGATGGCCCAAGGACTTGGGCCCCTGCACCCACATGAGAGGCCCAGAGGAAGCTCTTGGCTCCGGATCAGTGCAGCTTCAGCCGTTGCCTTTCAAATAAAATAAATAAATCAAAAAAGGGATGAAAATAAAGAAACAAAATTGCTATAAAAGTGACTGTTTATTTAGAAAATAAGTCACAAAAATGTACATACTTTAAAAGCTGGCAAAAACCACCATATCCCAAAATTCAGAAAAATATTACAATATTTTAAATCTGATAGATCTCGCTGATCCTTTTTTCCCCTGTATTTTCCAGCTGTGGACTCTGATTGATTCTGCATATGAGAACGATGTTGTAATATTTTGTAGGAGAAAAAACAGAAAAATAATCCAGACTTTCTTTTGACACAGTTGACTGAAATTATTTTTATTATTGGGTGTTTAGGAAAGCTTGTCACCATTCCAGCTCATTATCGGTAATGTCATGTAGCTTGGGGAGATTGTGGTTAAATTCGAGAAAACCTCTATGAGACTTTCTTCATCTGTGAGCTGTATGATTTCAGGAGGTGGGTGTTGGAGGTAGCAGTTAAGATGCCGCTTGAGGTGCTTGCAGCCCGTACCAGAATGCCTGGGTTCAAGTTCAGGCTCCAGCTTCTAGGAGGCAGCAGGTGATGGACCAAGAACTTGGGTACCGGCCAGCGCTGTGGCTCACTAGGCTAATCCTCTGCCTGCGGTGCCAGCACCCCGGGTTCTAGTCCCGGTTGGGGCGCCAGATTCTGTCCCGGTTGCTACTCTTCCAGTCCAGCTTTCTGCTGTGGCCCGGGAGTGCAGTGGAGGATCCTTGGGCCCTGCGAACTTGGGTACCTGCCACCCACATAAGGGACCAGGACGAAGTTCCAGGCTTTGGTCTGGCCCTGCCCTGGCTGTGCTACAGGCATTTGCAGAATGAGCCAACAGGTAGAAGATCTCTCTCTGTCACTCTGCCTTCAAATAAAAATAAACACTTTTTGTTAAAATGTACTAATCCTATTCATTAGAGTGGAGCTCTCATGACTTAATTTTATTTTGCAAAGGCCCTGCTTTGTAATATCATCATGAGGCAGTAGGTTCCAGCACACGAATTGTGAAAGGACACCAACGTTCAGTCCATTGCACACTCATTTCAAGTTGTGTCTGTGTGTGTGTGCAGTAACCAATTTTTCAGACTGTTTACTGATCTTGGATTGGCCAGTTTGTTGATGATATGCTAATTGTGATGGCTTAATGAGTGTTTAGTATTATCTTCATGTATCAGTGTTTGTGTGGATGCAGAAAGTATGCAACAACACAGAGATGTACAAGCTTTTTCAGTGTCGCTACAAGATCACACCTGAATCTGATACATTCTCTTTTGCCCAGTTTTCTTCAACAAATGAAAAAACATTCATTGTCTCTGATCATATGGAAGAGCGTCAGGTGCATTCCTGATGGGGAATTGGGTTCAAGCAGGCATGGATGAAGACTCAACCCTCCACTCACTCGTCTGATAACTGGAAGAATTTCCTGTACTGTATCTTGGCTCTGTAGATTTCTTAAAAAAAAAAAAAAAAAAAAGATTTATTTATTTATTTATTTGAAAGTCAGAGTTGCACACAGAGAGAAGGAGAGGCAGAGAGAGAGAGAGATCTTCCATCCGTTGCTTCACTCCTCTAATGTCTGCAATGGCTGGGGCTGCGCCAGTCCAAAGCCAGGAGCCAGGAGCTTCTTCCAGGTCTTCCCACGCGGGTGTAGGGGCCCAAGGACATCTTCAACTGCTTTCCCAGCCCATAGCAGAGAGCTGGATCAGAAGTGGAGCAGTCCAGACTCGAACCAGCGCCCATATGGGATGCTGGCACCGCAGGCAGCAGGTTTACCCACTACGCCACAGCGCCAGCCCCTGTAAATTTCAACCTTGTCTCTCCTTTACTCCCCACACTCATGTCCAGGGCCAGGCACTGTGGGACTCTTACCCATTCAGCGGCTCTGCCATGGCACCTTTGTGTCTTGCTACAGTAGGCTGGTGGAGTGGGTGATAGAGGAGTACTCCTGGCAGTCTCTCCTACCTGGTCAGCTAGGGATAACTATGTACACGCGGACAAGACCATGAACCACGTATGTGTATGCCGTAAACAGACTAAATGTGTCCCCGGATCAGCTCCCCTATTTAGCCGGATCCCAAAAATGCCTGCAACCTCTCCCACACCACGAAGAAGTAGGAGTGCAAAGAGACAATGTTCTTGTGTGACTGTAATCAAAGCGTCTCGCTTACAGGCCTGATACATGGTCCACGTGTGTCACATGATCACGTTGTACCCCACAAACACATACAGGGTGGGCGTGTGGCCTTGTGGAAGTGGAAAACCTGGGCTTGGTATCCAGCTGCTGGCTCTAGCATGTGCTAATGTGCAACATGGAAGGCAGCAGTGATGGCTGGGGCAGCTGGGTCCCTGTCGCCTGTGGCAGGCCTGGTTCGAGCTCCCAGCTCT